CCGACGGCGGGGACGCGCGGCCGCCGTTGGGGGCGCTCGCGCCTCCAGCCCCTGCCCTCAAAGGGGAGAAAAACTGGAGCGCCGGACCCTCGCTGGGACTCCAGGGGCGAAATTCCAGAAAAGTACGAGGTCCAGCTTTTATTTCCTCACCGGCCCGTTATTCAACTTTCAGTTTGAAGGTTTTCAGTGATAGACGATTGGAAAAAAAAAAAAAAAGAACTCAGCGAAGTTACAAGGCATCTTGACATGGGCTTGGGGTAGACACTTTTGTGTTTCCCCGGGGTGGGAGGAGGATTAAAAGAAAACTAGAGATTGGAAACTGGATGTTATTTAGACTTTAACACACAGATATATGCATTACATATGCAAATGTATGTATAGGCACTTACATTTATAGAAATATATGTATACATTTATATTTATCTAAATATGCACATATATTTAGATAAATATATATGTAATATACAAATATACTCGTGTATGTCTCTAGGAATATATCCAATATATAAATATATGCTAACGAAAGCACACATTTCTATAAATATACGTCTATATATGTGAAATGGATGTCATCCTGCTATACATGACTTGCGCAACGTGGACTGTATGTGGCACCGTGAAGAGAGGATGAGAGGGATTTTATTTCTTTTTATGGTAGCTATCTCTTCATGCCTTGTGATATTTATCTGGCCCAGCTCAGAGGAAGGTAAAATAATGCACAGTGTGAGCCAAGCATAAAGACAATTCCGGTTTGAAACCTTAGAACCTTCAGCCCCACCCCCTTCCAACAGGCCCCAGCAGCAGGTCTGTGACGTGTGGTCAAGTCAGTTGTCTTCCTCAGCTGAAATATTCCCCAAATCTGCACCATGAGTTTTGAGGCCAAGGCTTTCTGTTCCCCCCAGGATTCCAGGATTCTCCATGCATAGCGTGACAGGGTTACCCAAAAGGTCCCAGAAGCCAAGGGCAGAAGGTTTTTTGAAAAAGCCAAATCAGCAAAATCAAGTTTGCCTGCACAGAACCTTCAGCCTGCAAAGTAGAAAGAGAAAAGTCTGAATCAGGAGCTCATAACAATCTATTATGCATGTGTATTATTTTTTCAGTTGGGAAGCTAAAATAATTCTAGGTTCCGCTCACGTAAATCGGATTAGCAACCCACAGAGGGGAATTAGGCACTGCTGTTTCTGAAAGTATAAAGGTCAAATAAGGTATTTCAGAGGAAGCCTGCCTACTAGAAAAATAAATTCAGGGCCGGAGGGGGGACGGCAAAACACTCAGGAACATGCTACTTTATTCACTGAAAATAAAGCGCTGTGGAAGTTACTGTCACTCTGAATCACTGGACACCAAACTAGCTGGCAATAGAACATATTCTACTCGTAGATATTAAGTTGAAAAGTGTTTTTTGTGCTTCTGAAACTATTTCCTTCTCCGTCAAGTTTAACTGACAAGTTAACAATTGTTTCTGTCACCAGTGAGATTTAAAAAACAAAAAACTTATATGAGACAAAAATCACTGTGTAACTTTGGAAGAGGAGAAAGTTGATAGCTGGTGGATGCTCCTCAAGTAAAGATGGAAAATAAATCTCTGGGGATAACATCAAGGATGTCTTGCAGCTTTAGGCCTTCATAACTTGTGAAATGGGAACGTTGTCAGTTTATCAAACAATCTTTGATAGTCAAGAAACTGAGGGAAAATTGGACCTTCTGGACACTCTATTCCATTTTAGTGTTGCCCGTCACAGGATCTCTTTTATGTGGGATATGTGATTTCTGAGGGGCAGCTGAATGCCTTTCCCAAGCAAAACCTCCTCAAGTTTGATCGTATTTCTCTTAAGATCCAGGCTCTCTGGTTGTTTTTTAGAGATGGCTGCCCTCTTGTGGTGGAAATGAGTTCAAACGCTTGGGAGAAAGAAGTCAATAAATATATAAGTAAATAAATAAGTAAATAAATAAACTCCAAAGACTGAGTTGGGGTACAAAGTACAAGATGACCATACCTACCCATTTTCCAGGCAATACGAATAGTTAAAAATGATACCTCTAAGTGGAGATGACCTATATCTTTTTATTCTCTTTGCTAAAAGGTGCTAACCTTCCACCTGCAACTCAGAAAGCAGGGTTATTACTTTGAGTGTGAAAATATCACTTACTGCTAGCCATGGTCAACTCTACATTTTCCAAAGGTTCATTAAAAGTTTTTCAACCCAGAAGGTGAGATTCATTCTTTTTGGGTATATCAAATTTGGTGTATCTGCCAGATGTGGGGAGTGGCGAGAGTGGGGGTGGGGAGTTGTTTAGGGGAGAGGTGATATTAGTTGCAAATTCAACTACCTCAGAGGGGACAGGCAAGTTATGTAAAAAAGCAAAGCCTACCAGCTAAGGATTCTATATAAAGGAGGTTGCTGCTATTCCCTTCTAGTCAATTCTTGCCAGTTTTCTAAGAGATACTGGAAATCCACATTTGATTATGTATGGACATGACCTGGGATGAAATGAAGTGCTTAAAGAGTCATACTTTGGCAACTTTTCCTTTACCAGTTCAGACCAGATAATGTTTAATTTATTGCATCCTGCAGCTATTAGCATTCACCATTGTTCCTGGTAGGCTAACCATTATGCAAATTAATATTAAAATAATGATCCTCATGTACTGTAAAGGTCACAGCCGGGCATTAAATGATCCATCTACTTTATAATTGTCATTCCACTGAAACCTGTGGCAACTCCCCTGAGAAACCTCTTGGCTTTTTAGGATATATATCACTTTGTTACTAGTGTGACACTCAACACCGACTCTACTTACTTTACCTGGATGAAGCTCTGTCACAGGAACCAGGAGCCACAGCACAAGAGCAGCATCTAGTCAATCAAACTTTTACTCATTTAATGTATGATTAGATATGGTAGGAAAGATGGGTGGTGTGGAGTGACTTATTTGTAAAACTAGGCCTAATAGGCCAAGTCAGAGTTATTACTTTCAGGCAAATACTGACTACATCTTAAAAATTAAGAGAGAATGAATTTTGTGAATTGACTAGATTTATTTTAGGATGCACACAGTAGGCATTCTATAAACATGTTGATCACAGCCCAAGACATAGTCGGGTGACTTAGGTTCCAATTCCGGTTTGGCTGGATGGCTGAATTTAAAATAGTCATCTTTTGGCCTCATCTGTTGATCAGGGTAAATAAATGTATGTTCTGCCTGCCTCAGACGGCATGATGAAGGTCAAATGCATAACATGTGTGGACTTGGAGAATTTAAAAATGCTGTACAAACACAAGATCCTGATTGCTACTTACTCTATGTATCTTTATTTTTCAGCTTGCTTCCTGAACTATTATGGCCTGATTTTGAGATATAGAACTTTGTATGTCAGTTTGTTTGTTTTTTTCCTAACATTTTTTATCATGTTGCCAAACAATGGGTATTTCGTCAGAAAGGTCACCACTTGGGTCGATCTAGGGCAATAACAAATTCTCATAGTCTCAGCTCCCTCACGAATGATACGTAGAGATGAATAGCTGATCTCCTCACAGAGCTGTTGTGAAAAATAGATATGTTTCAAGACAAAAAAAAAGTTGCAAAATTTGAATTCCATACACATGCAAATTAAGGTCATTGGTTCTTGGAAGATTGATTTTGTTTTATGTTACTTTCTTTTGCATTTGGTAGATGACAAAAATGAATGTGAAATGAGCACATGCTTCTGAAAAATAATTATGGTCTTCCAATAGGTAGTTTTAGATAGTCATTAAATATTATCTCATTACCATATATCAATATGTTTGCATATCTTGTCAATGATATTTAAATGTTTTGATTTTGTGTTAATTAGACTGTGAAGAGTCAATGATAGAATTTTTCTTTACATATCCAGTCTCCAAATATTCATTGAGCAGCTATGATGCCCATGGCACTATGTCACTTAGGTTCCAGGAAATACAAAGATACATAATCTCTGCACATAATGCATTTAGAATTTGGCAGAAAAGATGGGACATATTCACAGGTAAATAAAGATATATGAGATAAGGACTTTAAGAGAAGTGAGAAACAAGTCCTGCAAATTAAATCGAGAGCAATCTCACTTCTGAAATGTAGACTCACTAAATTCTTCAAAGGGAGGGAATTTGAGAGGAACATTCAGGATGAGTAGAATTTCCATAGGATCAGTAGGCATCTTGATGAACATCAGCATTAGCAACAGCAGAATTTCCACCAACACCTTTAGTTACTGAGTTTCATGTGCTAGTTGCTTTCCACTTATCATTTCATTTAACCCTCACAAGAACCTTGCTCATTGGGTTTTATTACCCCCATTTTACAGACGAAGAAACTGTGCTAGAGAGCTATTTTCCCAAAGTCATACAACAAGCAAGTAGCACAGTCAGTAGTCTATTCTAGAACTCATGTTTTTGTTTGTTTGGTTTTTTCCCCCCACCATGCCAATGGTCTCTTGATTCCAGACAGTAGGAGCAGC